TGGTGGCGTGGTCTGCGCTCCGAGGGCTCGATGTCATGTCTATGTCAGCCTCTTGCGCTACGCTAGCGCGCGCGAAGGTGACGAAGAGATCGTACCTTCTTGTGAGCCGTGAACAAGCATCAGGCCTTGCGTCGGCGACAACGTCATCACTGCCCTTCTCAACGACTACACGGATACATGTCGCTTACATGCGGCCATTGGGCTTTTTATAAGTTCCTCGCACGACGTGTCCCAGTCGCACCGTGCAGCATGCAGACTGACGCGATTAGTGACCCACTTGTGGCAATCACCCAGAGCTACGCTTGTGCATCAGTTCCCTTCTTATGTGCTATTAAAAGCACCTCACGCTCCCCTCCAACACCACCGTCAGTCCGCTACCTGGCATTTCATTCTGCATAGGCAACCTAAAAATCATCATCTCGGCGTCGGAGCTGACAGACATTGAATGGGCGACCAGCTACATCATCCCGTCCTACAGATCGCAGACAACATCAATTGCCTCGAACGGTCCGAACGCGGTCACTTTCGAATGAAAGTAGTCAGACTACGTCTATTTGGCATGTATGAGTGCGTACCCACTATATGCTGCCCATCCACTTTCCTGACACTAGTCTCTTCTCCCTTTGGTACTCAATCTCAGCCGAGATCGTCGTAAGTAGTTTCATTTGATTTTATCATCCACGTACTCGATTGATACCTCGGCTGTTAGTCGTAGGCCTCGCGCAACTTGTGTGAAAGCGGTGTGCCTCACGGACCTTGTTCACTATGGACCTCTAGCAGAACGTGCATGCTGTGTACCTGGAAACCAAGCCCACAGATGGACTTTGTATCCGATATGTATAAAGGATCCGGGAGGTTCTAAGCACACCGAGCATCGCGCATAGAAACACAATAGTCGTCCAGGTCCAGACAAAGCGAGGTAAAGGTCTTCTGCAACGACCGAACAACTATATCCATCGTCGTTCACAAGTGGTTACGCTACTAATCCCAGCGACTTCTGGATTTGCCTTGTCGGTCACTGCTAGCCACAACTTGTCGTCCCCCGACGTTTATGTTTGTGCAAGTTTGGCCTGCGATGAAATTATGGGGTCGTTGCTTTGTTCCAAAGGCCAGAGCTAACTTTGTGATGATCCTAGCTCTAGGAGCCACCGGCTGGTCGGTTTCGAGATATGTATGAAAATAATTGATTACAAAAGGAATCAAAGCACGAGGGTCTAGACGACACGGTCCCGAGCGACAGTAAGGTGCCAACATATCCACATTACGTCTTGCCTTCGCGCCGCCTGACCATCGGGTTCAACTTGTCCACCTATCAACCCCATCGAACACGCCCTCCTGTGCGATGAGCTAGTCTCCGGGAAGATGGTCTATCCGGTACAGATATCATTGCCGTGCCTGACGTGAGTGGAACGCCACTGTGACGCTTGCACGAATACCCGTTGACGAGCGAACGATGAAAGGAGCTAATTTAAGGCCCAGGCGCACTAGTGGCTCGGCTGCAAGCGGCGCTTTGGCAGACCTGTGTAGAGCATGGCAACGGGCGAGGCCAAAGCGGTGTCGCCACGGGGGGTGACTCTTTGTTCGCGTGGGCAACTATGTGGCACGGTGGTGGCGCAAAGCGACTCGGATATGAAAACCGCCCATTTGTGCCGAGCCACTCGTGGATGGGCCAATCGATATATAAGCACGCTGCAGTGACTGTCCTCCAGCTCACCAACCCAACCCACCGCTCTGTTTCGACGAGTACTCCTGTGCGCCCTTTCGTCTGCTTTTGTCTCTGTTCCCAACAAGGTATGCTCGTGCCTTTGGCGTAGCACTCCTTTAGGTGCTCTGACACTCATGGTCGCGCTGACCTTCCTCTTCTCATATAGTCACCTTTGTCAAGAACAATATGTCGCTGACGAGCAGTTTTCCCCGCTACTCCTACGTGATAGGTAGTAGGCTGGATTTCACGCTCGACACGCTCCAAGATTTGATATCGTTCTGCGACACCATGCTACACATCGACCCGGGGCGCTTGCGTGTACTCCATCTGTCTGATCGACTCTGCGACAACTTGGCATGCAGAGACAATCAGCCATGGTTGGGGTTGTGGAGCTCTAGGTTGTCTCTCGCCAACAATCTGCAAGAGCTTCGGCTCTGGGTAATAGCAACAAACTACTTCAGGAGGAGTCATCCATCTTCACTATGATCACGCAGTGTCGAAACCTCAAAACTCTAAAACTCTACGAGGGAGGCAACGTGACGATCGCGATGTTCCCCGAGATGCTCAGCCAGCTTACCACAATCGTCCACAGTACTGATCGAAAGTATTCTTTGAGGGGTGGATATGATTATGGACGGTTCTTCCAATGCACTGCCACCCAGGCTCTCGAAACCCTCGTTCTGGACTCCTTGGAGTGCCACGACGATACTTTCGTCCCCAACCGGTGTTTTACTTCGCTGAAAAAACTGTCGATCAGCCACAGCACAGTGTCAGTGGCCTCTCTCGTCGCCGCATTTCCTCTCCTCGAAAATGTGACTCTAGAAGAAGTTACGTGTTACCCCGCGTTTTCGGGGGGTTGGCTCTCTTTGCAACGTCTTGACATCGATGTAATGTGCCTGCAAAAGTTCGCTATCACATCTCGTGTGACCCATCTGGTTATCATGCGGAGTGCGGTCGCTGAACACTCTCAAGGGTACAAAAAAACGAAGCCCATATCACAAGTTATACAGAACACGCAGCCCGTCAAGCTCACCTTCTCTGCAACGTTCTCTATGAGAGAACCAGACCGGCACTTCTGGAACACACTGCTGGACAGCATGTCAAGCGTCCGAACTTTAGAGTTATGCTTCGAGGCTGTTCTGGCCAACGACTATCAGGGTATGGAGCATTGGATGGTGAGCAGGAATTTACATTCTTCGTTTTACGTACTCCTGACGCCACGGCAGAATTTCATCCTGCCTCGCCTACTCAAATGGTCCCAGGTAGATACGCTTGAAATCAAAGTAGAAACTTGGGCCCGTATTTTGGAGCCCTCTACACCTACCATCAACGCGCCCCCGCATGTCGACGGCAACGTTTTCACAGGATTCCGCAACTACTGCCGCAGTCTGGATGCGCATCTTGCCACGATCATTTGCCCACTCCGTCACAGCCGCCTCCAGTGGATCTCCGTGCAGGTGTCTGAAGGTGAGTGTCTAAATGACGGTTTAATCACGTCTGCGTTCGTGCAGAGGTGGCAGGTTGTGTGGTTCCCAGACGGCCGACGCAACCTGCGGTCAGTATCTCAGCAAGGGTAGCGCGACGTCAAAGGTGAGTTGTCTACAACTCGACTCTCTGTCAAACTGAGAGTTGTTCTCATGGTTCCAAAGCTATGCCTCACGAAATGTAGAGGTGGTTATCTAGATCAATGATCGGTGTAGTTTCAGTGTGAATCCATGTACGCATTGTTCTCGAATGAATGCCAGAGCACGGAATCTCTCACAAGGAGTAAATTGTGCGTCTTCGTACTCCCAGTAAAGGCATCATGTCGGAGATAGCCGCGTGAATGCAAGTATGTAGAAGTCGTGGATTTGAAAGTGCTACACGAAACACGACTCAGCGCGATCCAGTCGCCAGCAGGGTCTGAGAAACCTGAATATGAGGTTACAATTCAGATGCACGAATATGCGATGTTCAAAAGAAAGGTCCAAAGTGCAGCGATGGCTGTACTTGCTTACTCATTCGTCTCATGGTCCTCGTGAATTGAGTATGCCACACCTCAGCCCAGGTCAATCATAGTATGTGGTCAACGACATCACACTCAGCTCATACACATGGCCTCGCAAGGAAATGATCGAGACTTTACGGTGGTCATATACAGCTTGCACCATGGAAGCTGCAGTCATCCAGTCCTGAACATGTACCGCTGTCTCCCCAAGGGACAAGGGACAGGAAGGGACCCATATCAGACATATCTGGTCATCTATTATTACATCAATCTGCAGGGAATGAGCTTGCGGTTCTGCGCGATGCAGTCGATAATAAGGTCTGAACGGAACAACTCCAGGGGAGCCCGCTCTTCAATTCAACCGTAAGCACGACGGGAGACGTGTCATGTATACTTTGTACGATTGTAGCCAGTTTCCTTCCCAAAGGCATTGCCTTGCTCTCGGCGTCGGTTGTGGCATCCAGATCGAGGTGGTACATTGGACACTTGATTGGACACGTAACGATGTCGGCTACTTTTGCCTTCGCCAGGTCCAGCGACTACCAGCAAACATAGCTTACTGGCTTATTGAAAATGTCGCGGAGGAACTGCCGAACGTTGGGGAAGAAGCGGACGAATTGACATAGAGGCAGATGAGCCAACCATATCTCCAGACGGCGTATGTACCTGTGGTATGTAAAGGCGCCCACGAATCCATCAGAATGGGGGCATCCTCCACTTCAACCTCAGTCTCGAGTTGCAGATCCTCTGCTTGGAAGCCCTCTATCAGAAGCGATGTCACGTTGGCTAACGCAGCACTGGTGAGTATAGGACCCCAGCCGACTGTGTATATGTCCTGATATGTCTCGAAAGTCGGGGTGAAAAATCAATCCAATGTGCGTTGGTCGACATTGTAGGAGAGGGAAAAGGCCACCATAAGAAGGTCCTTTACCGCGTAATGTCAGTGAGGTGAGTTCACGAAACCTGGTGACGACCTGTCCGAGCGGCTCATGCATCCAGAGCAATTCCTCGAAGTTCTCAAGGCAGAGATGCTTCAGAGATGGCGCCTCCATCAAGAGCAACCCGAGGAGCTCGATACCGTACGGCCATCTGGGGTTATGACCACTTTTCCAGAAGCCATTGGTTGTAGGATCATACTCTAAGGTGAATCTTCCCAGTAGATTGAGCCTGACGCGGTTGTTGAGCGTGTAGGCACAGAATCCGCTCATCTGGCGCTCGTTCTGGATAGAACGTCCTCATGGGCCCTGCGGTACGCGATAGCGCGAAGGTGCCTGCATGTGCGTGAAAGTTGGTGCGCTTCCTTGGACGGAAGGAGAGCAATGATCAGGAGGAGGGGTGTCAGGGTTCAAGGTGCGCAAAAGCGGTATAGTTCGCGGATCAACACTTGACCAATCTCGGCTTGTGCCAAGGGGGATGTCCCGGCTAGGCCTGTTCATTCGGGTTAGTGTGCAGAGAGTCAAATAGCCATATAGCTTGTATACGCACCTGTGAGTATGTTGGAGCACTGCAATCGGTGCAGCGTCCGGCCCGGCCGCGTTCCTATACCCGTATGTTATTTACTTGTCCCGTACGTACCTTTCCGTCGCCCTGTTCCGCCGTTCCTAGCATGCGCTAGCGAGCGCCGATTACTATAGCCTATCAGTAGCACATTTACTTGTACCTGATTCGAGGACTCACATATACTGCGCCGTTCGCGCTGACACCCTCAGTCTTGCTCCCTTGCACGAGCGTGAACTGAGGGTGAGTTCGTTGTCTGTTTCCGATACGCATACCGTAGCTTACAAGGACTTCCGTAGCCGTCGTCTTGTGCTGTTTAGGTATGAGAATACATCAGTCTTGCTCCCTTGCACGAGCGTGAACTGAGGCCGTCGTCTTGTGCTGTTTAGCCCGACGACGACACGCTCGTACCATCCCTGTTGTTGCTACAGAGTAGTTCTGAGCAAGAGATGAATGCAGATGTATGCTGAAGTCCTTCGACCTTCAAGCTCGGCGTAGGTTGGAATTATCTATCCTCTCAGGAGACTACTTCGATCATCGATGAGGCTGCGCATCTAGCACCAGTGGCCGCAGCCGCCAGTAAGACTCGAGCGACTGGTCACTGTTTATCTCCTCCCGCCTTCCTCATATACATTTGTTAGCTCAGGGCAGAATGAAAAAGAGGTGTATCACATCGATGTTCAGTCTCGACTTTGTCTGCTATGTACAGGATGGCCAACAATAATAGACTTCCCCTCGCAGATTATATTCTGGTGGAATGTGGGGGAGAAGCTAACGGCAGGAGTTGGCTGTGGTGCAGCAGTCTAGCTTCATGATGAATGGTCAGATTGAGGAAGCTGGCACGATGTCATGGGGCACTGGCACAGAGTTCGTCGCTGTCAGTTGTTGATCCCAGAAGCCGAGAGTGACGTGTAGACCTTGACAAACGGGCGAATATTGAGACAGGGCACATCCCCAAGTGCCGAGCGTCGCTATGCTCCATGCCGCCTACCTGCAATTTTTGCAAGGGAGGTCTATCGCTTTGTCTTTGCTATAACTACAACCGTGTCATAACTTCACGGCCGCGGCTTGTTTCTTTTTTACTGTATCTGGTGGTCTTCGCATCTTTGCTTCACAGAACCTGGCACTGACCAGAGGTCAGTCGGCACAACTCTCCTCTTAACAGCCAAGTATTGTTTCAGGTTGGCACAAGCGATGTTTGTGGGACACAAAGGGTGAGTCGCTTTCACCACCGACTCCACCAACTCTCTCAACATACTATCCATTATTCACGATGACTGAAAGTGATGCCCGCTGAGACATACGCTCCAGACACCCTCGACGATGACCCCACTTCCAAGCCTGCAACACGAGTTTCTGACAACGAGCAGGACAAATGCCTAATCTTCAAGCCCAGGAAGGAAGGGCTACTAATCGATGGGTAGAACCTAAACCCGATATCAGCTTTTGCTTAGATCCCACTGTGTCCAGACATACAGGTAGCTCTTCTGCGGCTGATAGCAGAGACTGAGTGCAAGCACGACGCGAGACATCGTGAACATTCTTCAACTGCCGCAAGATCTCTGTGGTCGTCGGGCGTTTTCGCCAATCTTGGTCCCAACATCGCTCCATCAGCTTCCATATGACATCGGAGTGTCGGCGATACGGCTTCGGGTCTGTTCGCTGTGGTCGATGACCAGAAATGACCTTGTAAATGATCCGATGTTCGCTCTCTTTCCCCCACGGGACATAGCCAGCCATAACCTGCACGATCGCGATACAGGAGCATTTAATGTTGTCACATAAGGATCAACTTACCTCGAACATGACCATTGCCAGAGCGTACACATCAGTCTGCTTGGTTGGCCAGGCATGCTTGCGTGCATAACTCTCAGGGTCGAATAGCTCTGGTGCCATCATGTAGCATGTACCCATCCCTGAGAGCCCCATAGCGCTTGCATCGACGAGCACCATTAGCCGCGAGAGACCGAAGTCAGTGAGGCATGCGCGTTTATCGTCTGTGATCAGAATGTTAGACTGTTCGTGGCTATTGGTCAGTGCGTCAATCCTTTGCCGTGGTTTGTGATGCAAAACGTACACATTTGAGGTCGCCGTGTACCAAACCATAGCTATGCATGTACTTCAATCCCGAAGCAACGTCTACCAGCTGCTAGCCGTGAGCCATACGTCCGCATACTGCTGCAAATGCCGGTACGTACCAGACCGATCCAATCCACATCAGGAGTGTCGTGAATGTAGCTTGGCACATTCCCATTCTCCATCCATGGAGACAACATAGAGAACGAGTCTAAGGAGGCCCCCACGAGCTTATTAATGTTTGGATGGTGCAGGAATTTCCAGCACAGAATCTCGCGTGAGAAGTCCTGTGCATGCAATTATTTGCGATCAACGAGATGGGTACATTGTACGGCGGTGACATACCCGAATTATACGCTTATCGTGTCTCTCGCTCTCTGAGATACGCAGCTTCTTCAAAGCCAGCTTCTTTGTGCCGTCACGAGCAAGGAAGACGTCTGCGAATCCACCGTAATACAGAGGATTTTCGTCGACCACTAATTGTTCAGGGAGTTCTATCCGAGTATAAGCGAAGAATTGTGGGTTGGTTCCCAGAAACATGATGATGTCATCAATCTGGAGGCGCTTGCCGGGAGAGCGATCCAGTCTCGTGAACGCACACTTGTGAAGAATGGGATCAATCGGGATTAATTCAGTAGATGCTAAGTGGCGTATCAACTCGCCTCAGCAGCGTCAATAAGCCCTTCAACGATGATGCTCCTGTTCATGCCGTTCTGCCTGTGTTCTTCTTCCCATTTGCAAATAACCGGTAAAATAGCCTCGACGATGTCCCTCGTGTGTGCGCGCGGCGAAAACAGCTAAGTAGCGTCATTTTCGAGGATACGAGGACGATCGTATCCACTGCTTACCCCCACATCCGTACACAACTTCAGAAACCCCTCTACCTGCTCGTCGCATTGCAGCCAATGAAAGTTCCTGGTTAGTTTTCTGACTTCTGATACAGCGTCTTGCAGCGGGCCAGGAGGAATCACAATCAGGGCTTGTGCCATCGTTTCTAGGATAGCTTGCGTAGAGCCCGGGCGCTGATCGGGACCGCCGGGCAGAGCGGATACCCCACCTAGCTGGTTCGGTGGGCGCATGATGGTGTTCACTTGCTTCACTAACGCTTGAAGCCGCTCAAAGCTCATCGTGTAGACTTAATACTGGCGGAAGGGAGGATATACAGTTGCTATGAGCAGATTGTCGGTAGCGAAAGCTCAGCGCTGGCTCGGAGTATGTATTAACGGAGTTCAGCGACACGCAACTTTATAACCCACCTGCAGGATGTCTGTTAAATGGAACCCAGATACGATAGCTTGTGAAAGAGCGAGCACACCTAACACGCGTGCAGGGTCCGAACCATGTCGAAGTTCAGCTTCTTGCTGTTCTTCCTGGCCTAGGCCATCAACTTCTGAGCAGCCAAATCAGTCAGAAATCAAATCAAAACCCATTTGGGATGCATTTTCCAGCTATATACAGACGCACGAGTATATGACCCAGTCCCGGCAAGATTCAAAGGGCTCTGCATATAAGTCACCTCGTGTATCTCTTCGAGCCAGTGAGCAACGCACATGCTACGCCGTTGCACAAGATACCACACCCACTAAATATAAAATGTATATCGCACATTCGGGCGACCTCTGTGGAGTCCCCGGACCTAGGATCAACCCGTTAATGTTAGATCTATTTCCACGACCCCATCACCTACCCCGGTGCCCGCCCACATCGACGGTGTGCCCTTCACATTACCCGCTGACCACAACCTCTTTCAGTACAAGTGGACTTCATTCGGCCACTCCGTTCTGTCCTCTACAAGCTAGCTTTCCTAACTGAAGAAGTCGATATTGTTAAAGGCTTGAATGAGCACAGCGTCACGCACGAGCTAACACACAGTTCCGTGTGCGTTGAGTAGGCAATACGGAATCAAAATGCTGTGAAGGGTATCCGGGGAAGTTCCAGACGGAGATGAAAGTCGAACACTTACCATGATGGGAGGCATTGTCTGAGTGCGGATAGCTGTTCAAAGCCTGAGTGTCGCTGCTATTTCGATGACACGTAGCGAATCACGATGTGGGATGCCATGTTGAAGACAGATAGCACTGGAATGTACGAATCATGTACCGTACAAGACTTTGCTCACCCGGGGTGGATGAAGTACTTACTATGAAGCGCGCGCCCACACATGATCTGAGAGCACGCGCCATCAAATCGTGCAGTATGCACAGCGACAAAGACCTGCATGGTCTTCTATTTTTTGTGTGACTACGTGCGAGCACGCAGCCTGCTGATTATACCTGTACATCGCGACGCAGCAATGTCGGAGACATGAGCAACATGGTTGTCGCTGTAGACAATCTACCTCAGTAGATAAGAGCCAAGGTTCATACACTAATCCTTCTTGAACGTGGCGAGAAGGTAAATCTCAGAAAACTGAGATCCAGATATTATGGCACCTCTGCCAGTCTATTACAGGTACGAGAGATGTCAGGGACGAGGATGTACATAGTATGCAACACGGATCCTGAGAGCAAAAGCAAGCAACTGGGATACGGAAATGCGAAGTGCAAATGAGTAATGACGGTATCGGTGTCCAATGAAAATGAGGACAGTCTACTGATACAGATGTACAGACAGATATGAATGAGAGCGGCCCGCGGCACCGAAGGCCCAATATAACGATGTCGGCCTCCAAGTAAGGAGGTCGCGGAGGATAAGAGTTCACTTAGTAGTCAAGGAAGGCCATTTCACTCAGCCGCCGGCTCTCCTCGTCCTGGATGCGTCCCGCTTCCACGAGGATGCTCCCGCGATCGTGCATAGTCGGGCTGAGCGCCTGGCGCGGACGCAGGCCGACACCCACAGTCGACTTGCGCTGTGACGAGTTCACACTCGGATCCTGCGAGGTGTTCCGGCGGAGGGCAGACGGGAAGGACGAGGGCGGGGCAGGCATGGGAGGCGGCGACGTCGATGAGGGGGATAGCGGCGATGGCTCCACAGAAGACTTCGGTCGCTGTGAGCGGATGGAGAGCGAAGACAATGTGCCCGCAAGGCTTCGCCGTAGGTTCTGCATGGAGTTCGAGGCCCGTGGGTTCCTGAATGGAGGCGGGGCCTGAGCGTGCGCATATAGTCAGCTTTCTAGCCACGGGCAGCGCCGTACGATGAACTCACATCAAGACTGCCAGTATTCCGCGTCGGCAACCCCAAATTGAGCGACTTCCTGTGCTCGGAGTCGGTCTTGCTGCCGCCCCGCGGGCGCGGCCTCGGCGTCACAGCAGCAGCAGCGAGCAGCTCCCGCATCTTCTGCGCCTCCCCCGCCATCTTCATCCCAAACTCGACGTTCACATACTCCCGCTGCACGCCGTCCTCCTCCTCCGAGTCGCCCACCGGGCTCTCCGCGAGCGCCCGCGCGCCGTCGCCATCGCCGTCCTCGAGCACGCGCGGGGGCACGCCCGCCGCGCCGCTCTGCGCGCCATGCCCGTGCGCCGAGCGGCGCCCCGCCCCGTGCGAGAACGTCGTCGGCGTCGCGGGCAGCGCGGACTCGGACGGCGTCGACGAGCCGTTCGTGCGCGTCGGCGAGAGCGCGGGCAGCCGGCTCGCGCGCGAGCCGCTCTCCGGCGTCGTGTTGGGGTTCGCGCCGCGGCCGCGCGCAGGCACGGGTGCGGACGCGGACGCGGGCTTGAGGCCGTCGCCCGCCGGCATCTCGCTCGACGCGCGGGCGGAGCCGGGGCGCGACGCGGAGGTGACGACGATCGGCGCGGGCTTCTGGCGGCCCTTGATGGCGTAGGCGGACGGGGGCGACGTGCGCCCGGGGCCGTGCATGAGGAGCGGTGCGACGTCCTCGGCAGCAGCGGCTCCCCAAAGCGGATTTGGCCCCGCGTCGCTGCTCCGGCGCTTGTGGTGGTGGGCGTGGCTGTGGTTGCTGGTGGTGTGCTCGCCGCTGCTGCGCGGGCGCTCAGAGGACATCGAGCGGCGCGCGAGGCTCATGGAGGACTGCAGCCAGCGCGAGACGCGCTCGCCGACGTCGCTCGAGCGACGCTGGCCAGCACCCGCGGACTCTTCGCGCGATGAGCCTGTCTGTGGACGCGGACGGCGGGCGTGAGCGGCGGCCGGGTCAGCCCGCTCATCGGTGGTGGGAGGGAGCGGCTTCTCTCTTCTTCCGCCTTCGCCGATGATAAGCTTATCGACGCCGTCCGCTTTCCCTCGCGTCCCAGTGCCCGACGGCTTCGCCTGTGTCCCAGCCTTCGTCCCCGGGGTCTCAGCCTCTGCCCCGCGCCCCACATCTGGGTTCGCACTCGATACCGCTGCCGCCGGCGTCTGCACAAGAGATTGGGATCGGCTCTCACTCGCGCCCACAAGCGGATCTCGATCCGCCTCTGCGCGGTTCTTCGCCATCCACGCCTCCTTGATGCGCCGCGCCTCCGAGTCGGCGTCGGGCGTCTTGCACTTTGCGTCGTCGACGACGACGGCGAAGCGGCGGTCCAGCTCCTTCTCCTGCTCGCTGAGCGGCATCATGAACCCGTGCGCGTCGCGGAGATGCGTCGCGGAGGGCGAGCGCAGCCCGCGCGCGACGAGGGCAGCGTGCCGCTGCTCGGGCGAGGTGAACCCGTTCGGGAGCGGGGGCGGGGGCGCGCGGGGGACGGGGATGCGCAGCGTGGGCTTGCGCTTGGGAGCTACATGCGGCTGCGGCGCGTCGGGAGCATCGGGGCTCGGCGTGTGCCGTGGACGGCTGCGACTGCGGCTGCGGGTACGATGGGCGGGGGTGGGGGGCAGCGGGGTGGGGTGCGAGATGGTGAGCGTCGGCTGGGGCATGGGAGTGGGGGCATGCGGGCGGAGCTTGGTGGTGATACGCTTGAAGAGGCCGGGTGCAGGTGTCGGTTGGGAAGACGTGACGGGCGCAGGGGCATCTGTTGGCAGAGGGGGAAGGTCGTCATCTTTGGACCTATGTCGGGCATGAGCGCCGGCGCTTGGGGTGGTGATTAGCGGGTGAGTTGGGAGCGACGCGCTCGGGCGGTGTCTAGAACGAGGCGCGGTCGTCAGCGAGTGTCCGTACGACATCATAGCGAAAGGGGATTGAAGAGGATGGAGGGAGAGGAGGGAAACGGCGGGGCGTGCTACCTAACATGGCCCAGCATGGAGGGAGATTTGTCGGAATGGGGGACTGAGAACGTCTATAACGAATTGTGCAGATGTTGTGATAGAGTATCAGGGCCAAGACAGGCGCAGGAATAGCTGGGGAGACAGGGCAGCCTCGGGGCGTGATGGTCCCACGCAGACGCGAGGCTCGGGAGGTATTTGAAGAGAAGGGGTGGGACGACAGGCCGCGGTCAATAAAAACAAATGCATGGAACACTCACGGATCGTGCCCCTGTGTCGCTGAGCGGGGTCCATCGTCGCAGGCGGCATCGACTGGGACTGGCGCGCTGGGCTCGATCGCGATCGGGAGTGTGTATCCGCGCTCGCCGACGCCCACAACGCCACCATCCGCACTCCTATCCCCCGACCCTGGCGCCCTCTCGTTCTCAGCCTCATTATTCACCCTCTTCCGCGCAGCGTGGGCGGTTCCCGGCCCGTCGGGCTGCGTGCTTTCTTTCTGCAGTTCTATCGCCATATCGGTGTCGGCGTCGGCGTCGGCAGGTATCAGCCAGGCAGCAGAGCGGCGAGAAGACAAGACGAGGGCGAACGCGTGTGCAGAGTAGAGACAGTGTGGAGCGCGATATGAGATCGGACTCTGAAGGCAGGCTTCTCAGGTAACGAGGGTATATGACCTTGGCTGCGCTGTCGTAATATATCCCAGCTCTCCGTGCTCGCGCTGCCTGTCCGACAGACGAGCCCACGCGCGTGCGTACTCTCCGCACGATCCTCCGCCCAGACACTGGCAGCTGATGAAGTTCGCTTCTTACCCGCGCACCGATCGACACAAAATCCCCGATGCGCTGTGAGTACGTCTGTCGCGCCGTCACGATGTCTGAATGGGGGTTCCGGCGCAAAGGAGAGGAGAAGAGGGTCAGCCCACGCATCCCGCCGCAATTTATATATCCTGGACCGGTGCATATGTGTCAAGCCGTCAAGCGAGAGCGTCGAGAACCGCTGACCAGGAGCACCTGAGCGCGTTGTAGCCGTGCCATGCGTCCCCATCACGATCGTCTGGCTTCACCCGACCAGCGCGCCTACTTACCCCGGGGTCCCGCCGCATTCACTATAAGCAATAGCCACCTCGTGTGTACATTGGCCTCCCAGCTCATCTTGTACTCGTGAAAGAAAACCATTCTCCTCTATGTCTTCGAATCGGACGAGCAGGACCCGATCAGATCTAACATAGCAATAGCTGTAACCATTCTCACGGAACCTCCCCCGCCCGGCCGTTGTTTTCCCGGAGATGTATTTTCCAAGTTCCAGCCAGCGCGCGCAATTCGTCGACAGGATGCTGGACCTCCCAATGCTACCGGACTCGCAAGACCCCGGAACGCCACCATGCTCTCCATACATTTGCCCGTGCGAGCGTTCCCAGAGCTGTCCCGGCACAACGGAGAGGAGGTCCAGCCAGGCCTCTCGCAAGGGGAACAAGCACGCTATTTCGGGATCCTTGGCATCACGGCGACCAGCGAAACAAAGCGCCCGTCTCGTCTGTCTTCCCGCCACCGCGCCACCCGTCGCGACGCCTTCCTTTACAGGCAAGTATTTCCGTGATTCATCGCCCGTCTGTTGCGCTCGAGCTTGTCCATGTCCCGACTCTAATATATCCGGCCGCCTACGCTTACAAGCACCTCCTCAGCCATGCGAGCATCGCTGACAGCAGCCTCATCCGTTCACCCATAAGCCCGAGGCACCAAACGCGGTCACGAGTGCACGCATAGCCGCCAGGAGGGCAGGGCAGCGCAAATCCCGAACGCTACGGATGTGTCGGGCACGTCGCGCCTACGTCGTAAAGCCAAAGAAGGCCCGAGGCCGGTACCGAGCAGTAAGTGTTCATTAATGCCCATTACGCATACGCACCGCTCGAGGCGCTACAGCGTCTGCCTATTCGGAACAACAACGGGACAGGCGCAATTGAATGGTATAAGCGAGCGAGACGGATATTTGAGACCTGTCATCTGGTGTGTTCCATTCGGACAGTGGGACGCACTACGGCTGCTCAGGGTAGGGCGAAACAGGAGTCCAGGACATGCGCTTGCGACGGGCGCACCCTCTCCGAACCGAACCTAAAGACTGCGGCCGCCCACTTTGTCCCCCAGCAGGGATCTGTCGTTTGCCGCCTGGCGCTGCATGATCTGCGCCAAATCTCGCATGGGCGGGCGCTACAGTGTGGATCGCTGTCATCAGCGCTGTTTGCGCGGCGTGCCCTAGCGTCTCTCGGCGACAACGGGAATCGGCTGGAGGTCCGTGATTGTTTGGCGGAGCAATCAGTACCACCAGCCTCGTCGCCCCCTAAATCCACAAGAACGCCAGACCGCAGAGACGCGTCGCGCCAGTTGGATGGCCACCATTTGGATGAGAAGCTTCCCTATCCCCAGACTCATAAAACCGGCCATGCATAGTGTTCATGCACCCTGACCGTCGGTCCTCGAGAACCGTTGTTGAGGACAGACCAGTGGCCATTGAGGGCCAGCAGGCTGTCATACAGGACGTGTAGGTCTTACACGATCATGAGGTGATGATATAACAACTGGCCGGCTTTCAAGAATCCTTCAAGAGTCGGTCCCACGTCCAGAAAATCATCGGCACCACATTGTCGCCATCCTGAACAAGTTGTTCGCCGCTATACCGTTGTCCGAGTCGGCTGTCTTCACGCGACTCGTCAGCCTACTCAATCTGGAGAACATCTCCGAGCATGGTCCTTCTGACATCGTTGGCGCAATCTAATAGAATTACGATCGGTTTGTGACCGGCGCTAGCGGTAAGTGCATCCTGACCATGGATATGGACTTTTACGAAAATCTGATACGCGCTCTCACAGTTATCTCGATGTTGTTGTCGAGTCTACGTCTACCTAAGTATGGCAGGGAGCTCAACCTGCCTTCATTGCTCCAGCTAGCTATCCCCGCGCTTTATCAAACGAGTTCTGTTCCTGATATGGAAGCGTTAGGTACCAGCCCTCATGACAGTATGACTGGATTGGTTGCGGTCCTCGATGACCAAATACCACGCACGGTGAATGGTATCACCTCTACCAACCTGGATTTGCTCCTGCGCCTTGCGATGGTATCCACTAAAGTTTTAACGCAACAATCCGCAGAAACGGGAGCAAGCCTAGCTCAGCCGCGGTGCCTAATGACGGCTCGATCATCATATTTGTCGCAAAATATGTTGGGGCGCGGTAAAAGCGGAGTCTCCTGCTTCAACGTGAACGATGCCGAGAAATCAGTAAGTGTTCGCTAATGCACCGCTCGCAGCGGTCGGATAACGACTGTGGCTATTCCGTTACCGCTACTGGTCAGTCAGGACAACGACGGCATTGTTATAATTTAGTAACGTGATACCAAGTAATGCGACGGCGCGAAAACATTGTGGCGACCTAGTTTGCTCCCATCCCCACCTCTAGTGTGTATTTGTCGCCTGGCACTGCATGACCTGCGAAGCCAGTGTCAGGGCCGATTGAGCGGTCTGCCCTAGCATCTTTCAGCGACAACAGGACTAAGCTGGAGGAATGGGATCATTCGATGTGGCGTCTGTCTATCAGTGTCCCCCTCTCCAGGAACGCATGGAGACGTGTCGCGCCATACGGACGTCTGGATAGACTGTCCATATACGGGCATCGGCCTCTCAGGCTGCAGCGGTGGCTTGTCAGAGACCGCCAGAGAAGCATCCTTATCCCTCGATAGAAGAACGTTTAGCTCGAGACCCCGACACAGGAGGGCGATAGGATGGCTGAGAGAGGTGGTAGCGTGGGACGTCGAAACCAAGTGCATCTTGCAGTGATCCCAGTGTCTTGGGAAACACGGTGGCTCGCGAGTCGCCTGAAACCGCGCCGCATATTGCACGCGCCGGGCGCTAAGCCACGGTAGTCGAAAACCTTGACGTCGAACACGAATGTGTTGCCTTTTGCACGTGTACTGACGTTGCACGACCCACATAGCCTCTAGCGTAACGGCGCAAGCCCGTTCACATCATGTATTGTTCGTCCATCTATAGCTATTATTCTTGGAAGAGGCTGCCACCTGCTTCAATTGGTCTGTCGTGACAAGTGAGAGGCACAGGTTCCAGACTCCAGAGACAACCCTGCAGAAGCTCCGCAATGTTCTTCGAAGGTGGGGTGACGATAGTGAGCGGCCGTCCAGCTGCCGACTTGTCGAAGAGTACCATTGGTATTGACAGGACAGTCGTCTGCCTGCTCCCTCCCCAATTTTCTCTGCACATGAGGATATTCAATGGCGACTTGAGAAAGCCGTGCCAGTGGACGGGGCCCAGACACTCTCCGGTAGGAATACTCCGAACATTTTTCGAACGTGGGACGATGGCACCTTCTGATTGGCCAAAATGCAGTGTTCGGACGAAAAGAAGGTAATGAAAACACTCACCCTGCCGGTCGCTCTTTTCAGGTGCCAGGCGCTCCGCGTCATCGATAATCAAAGCTTGAGAAGGTCGAAGGGCTTCCGCGTCTATCTCTTGCTCATAACCCTTCAGGTGCGTATACACGCTATGTGGCTATTTGACTCCGTGCACGCTAACCCAAGTGAACAGGCCTAGCCAGGACAGCTCCCTTGCACAAGCTGAAGTTTGTTGAGTGTTATTCCGCGAATCATGCCGCTGTTGCGCTCACTGAACACTGACACCCTTCTCCTAATCATTGCTCTCCTTTCGTCCAAGGAAGCGCACCGACTTCTACACACATGCAGGCACCTTCGCGCTATCGCTTACCGCAGGGCTCATGAGGATGTTCGTATCCAGAATGGGGCACAGATTTGTCAGTTCTGTTCCTACACGCTCGACGATCCCGCCAAGCCCAAGCTACTATGAAGCTTTACCTTTGAGTATGATCATGCAGTCGATGGCTTCCGGTAAAGTCATGTTTACACCCTACGTTCGCAAGCTATCGAGCTCCTTACGATTGTCTTGAGGGGGGGCATCATGTCTGAAGCATCTCTGCATTGATGACTTCGAGGACTATCTCCGTGCGCATTGGCCCCTTGGAAAGGTCATCACCGGGTTCTGTGAACTCATCTCACTGAAAGTACACGGTATCGGTCCTTCCTATGTTAGCCTCTTTCCTAGATTGCAATGTCGACCAACGCACATTGAATTCACTTGTCGTCGTGATTTTGAATAGGGCGCCAAGTCGACTGGGGTCCTACCGTCACCAGTGCAGCGTTGGCCAACGTGACGTCGCTTCTATTCGAGGGCTTCCAAGCAGGTCTGAACCTCGAGACTGGAGTAGAGGATGCCCCGATTTTCGTAGATTCGTGGGCGCCTTTACCACTGGTACGCCGTCTGGAGATACTGTTGGCTCATCACCCTCTGCATCAATTCGTCTGCCTCTTCCCCAACGTCCGACAACTCCTCCTCCGCGAAGTCTACGACATCTTTAATAAACCAGTGAGCTACGTCTGCTGGCAGTCGTTGGACCTGGTGAAGGCCAAAGTAGCCGACGTCATTACGTGTCCAATCAAGTGTGCAGTGTACCACCTCGATCTGGATGACACAACCGACGCCGAGAGCAAGGCAATGGCCTTATAATTGACACTCGATGCCATCGTCCGAAGTATACACGACACGTCTCCCGTCATGCTTACGGTTGAACTGGAGGAGCGGGCTCCCCTGGAGTTCTGGAGAAACCTCACGAGAGAAACAAGGAACGTTAGATGCTTCACATTGATACTGAACGTACCGGTAGACTACTTGCATTTTGGATGGTACGAGCTTTCGCGTCTGGGAGACTACATGCACTCATAGTCGACATTGCAGAAGGAGGTCATGCCGATACTTGGGGCAAGCTTCAATATTGCGTGTCTGAAGTTCCACGTATGGCACAAGGCTCCAAGGCCTGTGGATAACATGCAGGCAGATTTTATTCAGGCAGATAGTATGCAGGCGGATGTCGATGTGGACAAATTCGACGCCATCATTGCCGAGACGTTGCCTGCAGGTGCAGCTCAGGCTTTTCACTCGATTTATTTCCTTTCCTATGGTGTAGCGGATCGGACCCACGCATGGTGGCATGTCACGGGAGATGGCGACGAACGCAGATCGGTCATCTTTTCAGCTGCTGAGATGCTGGAGCGCGTACGTGGGACGCCTTGTGCGGCAGATGTGAGTGGATTGTAGCTGCAAAGCACCGAGCGAGATCAGTTGCTTATGATGGTGGCTCCGTTCAGACCTTATGATCGAATGCACCGCACAGAACCGCAAGCTCATTCCATGCAAATCAATGTAATATTAGACGCCTCCGTACGTGTACAAATGTAGCTATGTCTGATATGAGTTTTTTCTTGAACCTTGGGGAAACAGCGGTACATGTGCCCTGGACTAAATGAACGTGGTGCTAGGCTCACGGAGATACGGCCCAAAGTTGGCATTGGTTGTATTCCGACCTGGAGACCTGCCATTTTTGCACGAACGCGGCTTTGCTCGTGCTCACGCCCAATTGATCACCTTCGTGAACCTCCACAGAGAGAGTTTGGAGCTTTCCGAGATGCCCAAATTCGGAGATGATGTTGCCAAGTTGCGGACCCAGCACCATGCACAAGTTGCGGAATGGTGTAAAAACCTCGTCGCCGACCTCAGGAGAAATACGTAGAGGTCCGTCCGGGGTATAGACCCATGTATTACGGGCCCAAGTGTGTACTTTGATCGTCAGCGTCTCGACTTGGGAGCCCAGAAGGAGAGGCAGGACCTCATTCTGCGGTGGTGTCAGCGGTGTGTAAAACGAAGAATATGAGATCCCTACTCACCATCCATGTCTTCATGTCCTGACATTCCGATTCGGAGGCCATAACAGCCTCGAAGCATATCTCCAGAGACCGGACGCTTGACATGCTGGCCACTAGTTTTCTCCATAATTGCTGCCGGACTTTAAAACTCGTCGAGAGTGAGAGCTCGGTGGGCCCGGTGTTCTTCACGGCTTGTGGAATCAGGTCGGTTTCCCTGATGTCGTCATCTTGCTCAGCTGCATCGCATCGCATTAAATCCAGGTGAAACACGCCGGATGCGATTGCAAACTGATCCAGGCCGATTGCATCGATGGAAAGACGGTGCAAAAAGGGCCAATTCCCCGAAAACGCGTCGCAGGATTGAACTTCTGTGAGAGTCAGATCGCGGAGGTGAGGATTTGCTTTGACAAGGTAGTCCACAGGCGCATAACTGTATCTGAGTGTGAGGGATTCCAGCGAATGACACCGCCAGCCCCCGATACGGAAGGGATGGTCGGAGTGCTCGAAACAGTCGAGGGCAAGGATCTTGAGATTCTGCATGGCAGCGCAACGGAAGAACTGTGAATAATCATAATGGTCGTCCATTGAATCAACCTGATGGACAACATGGACAAGTTGGCCTGTCATTTTGGGCAACATCGCGATCGTCAGGGGCCCTCCCGCGTGTAGTTCGAGAACTTTGAGGGACCGACAGTTTCTGATGGAAGTGGAAAGGGATGACGGCGCTAGAAGCAGGTTTTGACTATGACCCAGCCTAAGCTCTTGTAGATTGGAGGCGCCAGACAGAACCTTGGCGAAGTATACCAACCACTGATGATGGTCCTGGCGTGTCAACATTTCGCAGACCAGATCAGACAGACGGAGAACGCGCAAGTACGGCCCGCCGTTCTGTGGAATGTCCTGGAGGAACAATGCGAAATCTTGGGGCGTTTCGAGCGGCAATGCTACCCCACTCTCTGTCTTGTAGAAGTAGCGGGGGGAGCCAGTCGTCAACGACATCTTGTTGTTGATATTTGGACAAGGGAGACTATATGAGAACAGGAAGGTCAGCGCAAAAAGGAGTGGTGCTCCAGAGACATGAGCGTACCTTTCTTGAACAGAGACGAAAGGGCGCACAGTAGTACTCGTCAAAACAGAGCGGTGGGTTCGGTTGGTGAGCTGAAGGACAGTCACTGCAGCGTGCTTATATATCGATTGGCCCATCCACGAGTGGCTCGGCACAAATGGGCGGTTTTCATATCCGAGTCGCTTTGCGCCACCACCGTGCCACATAGTTGCCCACGCGAACAAAGAGTCACCCCCCGTGGCGACACCGCTTTGGCCTCGCCCGTTGCCATGCTCTACACAGGTCTGCCAAAGCGCCGCTTGCAGCCGAGCCACTAGTGCGCCTGGGCCCCAACTTAGCTCCTTTCATCGTTCGCTGTCAACGGGTATTCGTGCAAGCGTCACAGTAGCGTTCCACTCACGTCAGGCACGGCAATGATATCTGTACCGGATAGACCATCTACCCGGAGACTAGCTCATCGCACAGGAGGGCGTGTTCGGTGGGGTTGATAGGTGGACAAGCTGAACCCGATGGTCAGGCGGCGCGAAGGCAAGACGTAATGTGGATATGTTGGCACCTTACTGTCGCTCGGGCCTGTGTCGTCTAGAACCTCGTGCTTTAATTTCTTTTGTAATCAATGGTTTGCATACACATCTCGAAACTGACCAGCCGGTGGCTCCTAGAGCTAAGATCATCACAAACTAAGCTCTGGCCTTTGGAACGAAGCAACGACTCCATAATTTCATCCGTCCAGGGACGACAAGTTGTGGCTAGCATGCAAATCCAGAAGTCGCTGGGTTCAGGAACGTAACCACTTGTGAACGACGATGGATATAGTTGTTCGGTCGTTGCAGAAGACCTTTACCTCGCTTTGTCTGGACGTCTGGACGACTATTGTGTTTCTATGCGCGATGCTCGGTGTGCTTAGAACCTCCCGGATCCTTTATACATATCGGATACAAAGTCCATCTGTGGGCTTGGTTTCCAGGTACACAGCATGCACGTTCTGCTAGAGGTCCATAGTGAACAAGGTCCGTGAGGCACACCGCTTTCACACAAGTTGCGCGAGGCCTACGACTAACAGCCGAGGTATCAATCGAGTACGTGGATGATAAAATCAAATGAAACTACTTACGACGATCTCGGCTGAGATTGAGTACCAAAGGGAGAAGAGACTAGTGTCAGGAAAGTGGATGGGCAGCATATAGTGGGTACGCACTCATACATGCCAAATAGACGTAGTCTGACTACTTTCATTCGAAAGTGACCGCGTTCGGACCGTTCGAGGCAATTGATGTTGTCTGCGATCTGT